TAGATAGATAGATAGATAGATAGATAGATAGATAGATGATAGATAGGATAGATAGATAGATAGATAGATAGATAGATAGATAGATAGATAGATAGATAGATAGATAGATAATAGATAGGATAGATAGATAGATAGATAGATAGATAGATAGATAGATAGATAGATGATAGATAGATAGATAGATAGATAGATAGATAGATAGATAGATAGATGATAGATAGGTAGATAGGTAGATAGATAGATAGATGATAGATAGGATAGATAGATAGATAGATAGATAGATAGATAGATAGATAGATGATAGATAGGATAGATAGATAGATAGATAGATAGATAGATAGATAGATAGATAGATAGATAGATAGATAGATAGATAGATAGATAGATAGATGATAGATACTGGTAGATAGATACCGGTAGATAGATACCGGTAGATAGATAACAAAGAGAAGAAGACCAAGCCTTTGGACAACCCACAGTGGACTAACCAAGGTCTCAAACCCAAAACCTTCATGACTTTCCCATGAAAGATGAGGAGCCCCAGAGCTGAGCCTTCTTCTTCGTATTCCACAGTTGATGTTCAGGTCAACTTTACCCCACCCCATTCTGTTGGACACGGGACTCCATCCTTTGCAGGATATGGCTTAACATTTGAGAGGTGCCTCCTGTAAGCCCTCCACCTCCACCACTGCCACCCAACCCTGAAAGAATCTGTGACCAGACAGGATGCCGGAAGGAATATGGCTTCACCTCAACCACGGCTACGTTCTTTTCCTCCTCCGCCCCATTTTTCAAGCTTTTCTTCTCCGAGCCTTTTCCTCCAGGACTGTCGTCCGACTTCTAAGGGAGGAAGAAGACAGGTCAGTGTAAACTAAAGAATGTTCTGAAATAATGTTATTGAGCAACCTCTAAGGACAAGAAAGGTGGACCTAACCTTGGGTAGATACTTTTACATCTTGACAGGTCCCCAAAAACAAAACAAAAAGTGGACGTAACCTTGGGTAGATACTCTTACATCTGGATGGTCCCAACGTTGGCCATCTCCCCCAACCAGTGACGATGGTCTTTTGACCCAACCTCTTTTCTTGCATGGATCTGAGTCGGTCACTGTTCACTCAGCCCGGCCTCCAATTTTGAAGTTCTTTACTCAACCATCACATTTCCTATTGCCATGGGGATGCATCTTCCTCAAGGTTATCATGTAAAAAACCTAATTTACCTTTGTGACACTTGGGAGGTTGATGAAGGTTAGGTCGTTCTCAGTCAGGACAATCCTGTTGGGTCCTTTACTTAGCTGAATGTGCTGAAAGTGGAGTCTGGGAGAAGCGCATTGAGAAATTAACAATATCAGACATGAAAAAGGGTCTATCTATGTCTGTCTATCTATCTATCTATCTATCTATCTATCTATCTATCTATCTATCTCTATCCATCACTCTCTTTCTCTCTCTGTATGTGTGTCATCTATCTCTATCTATCTATCATCACTATCTATTTATTTATTTATCTATCATCTATCATTATCTCTTATCTTTCTACATATCTATCACTCTCTATCATCTATCATCTATCTAATATATTTATCATTTATCTATCAATCATTATCTATTTATCATTATCTCTATCACTACCTCTCTTTCTCTCTGTCATCTACCTCTATCTATCATCACAATCTATTTACAGTATCTATCTCTATCATCTGTCATCTGTCTAATATATTTATCATTTATCTGTCTATCAATCACTATCTGTTTATCATTATCTCTATCACTACCTCTCTTTCTCTGTCATCTATCTCTGTCTATCATCACTATTTATCTATCTACAATCTATTACTTTCTATTTATCTATCACCTCTATCTGTATCTTTCTATTACTAACTCTATCATCTCTCTATCTTTCTATCACTCTCTCTATCATCTATCATGTCATCTATCTAATGTATCATTTATCTATCAATCATTATCTATTTATCACTATCTCTCTGTCATCTACCTCTATCTATCATCACAATCTACCTACAGTATCTATCTCTATCATCTGTCATCTATCTAATGTATCATTCATCTATTAATCATTATCTCTCTCTCTCTCTGTATCTATCTCTGTCTGTCTATCTATCACTATCTCTTTCTTTCTCTGTCGTCCATCTATCTATCACTATCTCTTTCTTTCTCTGTCATCCATCTATCTATCTATCACTATCCCTTTCTCCCTCTCTCTCTCTTGTATGTGTGTGTGTATATATATATGGAACTGCTAGGTTGACTCCCAAAGGCCATTCTGGAGGGGAGAATCACAAGAAGATCACGTCAAACTCACCGAAGATAGTAAGCCAGAACAGATCCACCCAGGAACAAGAGAATAACAATGAAGAAGAGGAAGAAAACAAAGCCGCCACCCACACCTGGAAGAAGGAAGAAGTTTTCGTTGGACGGAGGTCCACTTTTGCTGTGGCCACCAGGATTAAGGCAAGTGACTGTCCAGTTTCTTCTTTAAAAACCTCCAGCGTTGGAGCCCTCACAACTTCTGTTCCCCTGGTTAATTGTCCTCCCTGCTAGAAAGTGTATCTATAATTCCAGGGTTGCTTCTCACCTAGAATTCGAATTACTTCATTGCTCTAAGCCTATTTTGCAGGAATCTTCCCAAGCTTACAAGTTTTATTTGTGAAAGACTAGATACAGCTAAAGGAGGGAAGGGAAGAATCACACTGAATTTACATAGAAGAAGAGTTCAAGGGGACCTTGGAGGTCTTCTAGTCCAACCCCCCTGCTCAGGCAGGGGACCCTACCGTACTCCTCTGGACAAACGGCTTTCTAATCTCATCTTAAAGACTTCCAGTGGAGGAGAACCCACAACTTCTGGAGATAAGCATTCCATTTCTAATAGAATAGAATAGAATAGAATAGAATAGAATAGAATAGAATAGAATAGAATAGAATAGAATAGAATAGAATAACAGAGTTGGAAGGGGCCTTAGGGGTCTTCTAGTCCAATCCCTTGCTCAATCCCATTTCAGACGAATGGTTGTCCAATCTCTTCTTTAAAACGTCCAGTATTCCAACATTTGCTAGACATATGTTTAAACATTTTAGCTAGTCTAGCAGGTGGTAGCTGCCATCTATAATCTACCCCAGGGGTGTCAAACTCAGTGCCTGCTGGCTTAAATCTGCCCCGTGAGGGCTGGCCTGGAAATATCAACGGACTGGCCCACGGTGCCTCAGCCTGCCAAAACAGGCCGCACATGGCCCCCACGCAGCCTGTTTTTGGCCTCCCCAGCCTCCTGCAGCACTCTGACAGCCAAAAATGGGCTGTGTGGGGCTCAGGAGGTCTCCACACAGCCCATTTTTGGCTAGCAGAGTGTGTCATGCCCTTGTCGGAGTCTGATCTGGAGGGAGAGGCCAAGCAACTGACAGGGAATGGGAGTGTGACTCCGTTGACTGTGGAGGAAACTGGGGAAGAGCAAAGTCTGTCAGGGCAGAGCAGAGGAGAGGTAGAACAAGGGAGAGAGAGTTCAGAGGAAGACCCAGGCCCACCCCCTCTTCATCCTAGGGCACGCAGGGAAGAATGGAGAAGGGAGCAACGTGGGTTGCATGGCTTATGGGGGAGGAAAGGGCCCTGATTCCTTTCATTAGCTGCAGCTGGGAACACAGTGTATAAAAGAGGTAAGCTGCGTGCAGCAAGCTGTTGGGAGCAAACATGACTTTATTTTGTATCATCGTGGCTTATCTGTGCTCCTGGCATCTTCCCAACTGTGTGAGTTTTGCCGTGCTTTCAAGCCTGAAATTCTTTCTTCTGCCCTGTCAAACTAATTACTTCAGTTTAGTTTGTTTGGATTTTAAGTTACAGTTTGCGTGTACCTTGTTTTGGACTGAATTTTCTACAGTCAAAGGTATTCCTGGGAGAGTTTTTCTCCAGTCCGAAGGTAACCTGGACATTGGGGGCAAAGTTGGTGATAATAAAGGGACTCTTATTGCTTATCTGATTGTGTTGCCTTTGTGCCACGCCCGGGTCATTCACAGAGTGATTCTGGAGGCCGGGGAGGCTGAAAACTGGGCCCTATTTTGTCCGGCAGGCTGCTGCAGGAAGCGTCTGTCGCATCTTCCCCCCCGCCTCCCGCTCCCCCTCCCTGCTGGCCCATAAAGAACCGCAATGCTAATCCAGCCCTCAAAGAAATCCAGTTTGACATCCCTGAATGACCCCGTCTGACTTGGCTTCCACACTTACCCCCGGTACAAATGGCGTCACGGTTGAACCAACAACTGGGATCCGAAGCCGGCTTGGTATTGTGAGGCCAATGGATGGCCTGTCCTATGAAACGCAGGATCCCCGAAGCAAGGTCTACTTTGTAAATGGGGTGAAGATGGTTGCCTCTTCCATCCGTATCCAAGATGATGTACGGGACCTCGGCCCCTCCCTTTTCGTCCGCCGAAACCGGCTGGCTAAAGCCTTCCAGCTCGAAGTCCTTGGCGTGCTCGGCAATGGTCATTCCCGCCACCCGCTTGCCGGACTGGCGAGTGTTTTCCACTGCCTTGCTGAGGAAGTAGATGGAGTTAAAAATGGTGCCAAACAAAGGATGGGCCTGAAAAGGAGGAACAAGAACAAAGGCCTCATTGCACATTGTACTTCTGCGTATGTTGACACCAAAGAAGGATTCGCTTGCTTTCCTATACTCTTGCGAGCACGGAGGTCGCCGTTTGGGCAGGCAGGATCCTTGTGTCGGAAGGTTCCACCGGACTCAGAGGTAGTTTCGAAGGCACCCTCCCAAGACTACAGATCGGGGGTGTTAAACACAAGTAAAGGGAGCTCATTCCATTACGCAGCACTAGGGATTCGAACCGCCGAACTGCCGACCTTTCGACCAACAAGCTCAGCGTCTTAGCCACTGAGCCACCCCACGATTGCATAGGCAGCAGTAAATAGGTACCAGTAGAACGGACTATTTGTAGTTTAGGGGTTGAACCGTGGGGTCCTTGGTGGTCTCTGAGTTCGTTTGTTTTCTTGCCAATGTTGACATGATAGCAGTCTTCCAATATTTGGGAGCTGCCCCAAAGAAGAAGGGATCAATTTAGTTTCCAAAACTCCCAGAAGGCAGGACAAGAAGCGGCGGATGGAAACTCATCAAGGAGAGAAGCCATCTGGAATTCAGGAGAAACTTCCAGACAGGGATGACCGGTGGCACTGCTTGCCACCAGAAATTGTGAGTGCTTCATCATTGGATGAAGTTTTTTTTTAGAAGAGACTGGACAGGCAGCTGTCTGTAATGGTAGAGCAAGGGGCTGGACTGGAAGACCTCCAAGGTCCCTTCCAACTCTATTCTGATCGACTGATCAATCGATATTGGTCAATGCTAGAGGGGAATGCAGTTTGCTCTCTGTTGATGAGAGTGTGCTTGATAGTTCCTTGATTATGTGCAGAGTTGTAATTGCAGGAATGTTCCAATCTCGGATGGCAAATTATGCTGTCATTTATTCTCTGATAGATTGTCTTGATTGGGGTGTTGTTGACATCATGTTTGGTGGTCTAGTATTCATCTTAGTGTCAACAGCCCAATCAAGGAACAAAACCAAGACCACTTCCACCAATCCTGACAGGGCAAACTGCTTGAATGGAAACAGAAAGGAAACCCCAGTCTCTTCTAGCACTGATGATATTCCCTACTTGGGTCATGAAATGTCTGAAAGAAAACAACCAGCCTCACGGAACGTCAAGGGCCCTACAGTCCTCCTCCTCCTCCCTCCACTCCACAGATAACATTACTTTAATTGGATCATGAAACATCTCTGATAACAACCAAGCTCAGAGACCACCAAGGACCCCACAGTCTTCTTCCTCCTTTCCACAATTCCCACTCCCTTCCAGTACTGATGGTGGTGGTACCTAGTTGGGTTATGAAATGTCTTCAAGAAAACAACCAAGCTCAGAGACCACCAAGGACCCCACATTTCTCCTTTTCCTCCTCCTTCCCCTTCCTCCTCCTCCTCTTCCTCACCACGAATCTCATTCCCTTCCAGTACTGATGACGATGGTACCTAGTTGGGTTATGAAATGTCTGCAAGAAAAAACTACCCAGCTCAGAGAGCACCAAGGATTCCACTGTAAATAGATAATCACAAATAGGCCTTAGAAACTCTGTAGAAAAGCTGGTTCCTCCGTCAGACAAGCCCCATCGCATAGACAAAATCCATGCACACTTTAGGTGAAGGAATGGCAGAAGGTGGAAGCAGAGTTAAAAGAGGCATTGGCCTAGAATCTCTGTGTCACTCTAGTCCAAACCCTCTTGAATCTTCCTTGATCTTTGTCTAACTCAGGGGTGGGGTGGGGTAAGCCAGTGGTAGGACCACCTAACAAGGAGCCAAAGCAGAGGGCCCAAAGAGCCCCATGCAGCTCCAGAGCCGCAGGTTGCTGACATTTGGTCTAGCTCCTAGTACAGTGATGGTGAACCTTTTTGTTGTGGTGTGCTGAAAACATGTATGTGTGTGTGCCCTGGTACCCACAAACCCACAGTGTACACCCTTCCCTGCATATGTGTTGGAAACACCCCCGCCCCCTTACATGCACTCTGCATGCGTGTGCCTCCCAGCTGATTTTCGGCCTGTTTGAGGCCGTTCTCGCCCTCCCGGAAGCTCAAGGAAAGCCTCTGCACCTTGGGAGGCTGAAAAATGGGCCTTCCAGAAATACCGGAAGTTCCTGTTTTCAGCCTCCTGAGGGCCTCTGGAGCCCAGGGAGGCCATTTTTGCCCTCCTGGGGGTTCGAGAAACACTTGTGCAGCCTTTGGAAGCCAAAAAATGGGCCTCTTTTGGCACTTCCAGTATTTTTGGAACGGCCATTTTTCAGCCTCCCGAGGTTCCAAAGGCTTCCCTTGAGCCCCCAGGAGGGTGAAAACAGCCTCAAACAGGCCAAAAATCAGCTGGGAGGCATGCGCGTGCACAGTGCAGGTGAATTTGGCTGGGGCTTGCGTGGCCACACAAATAGCTCTGCCTGCCACCTGTGGCGTGCGTGCCACAGGTCCGCCATCTCAGTCCTAGTAAGCGCTAGACATTCGTTGGGAAGATTCAGTGGTGCGATTCAACCAGCGCGCACACAGCACTTGGAAAAGAAAAGCACAGGAAAAGGGCAGGTATGGGTGGGTATACCCAAATGATTACCGGAACTACCAGTTCGCCTGAACTGGTCCAAACCGGTAGAATCCCACCCCTGGGAAGATTCCTGTATGTAAGCAAGTGCCAATAAATGAAATTTCATTGGCCGTTCGGGTGAGGATCTGATCACTCACACCGGACATACCCTTTTTTCCTGACAAACAAAGTCAATGAGGAAGCCTGATTCATTTAATTATGCTGTGGCCACCTGAACAACTTGAGCAACGGATGTTTCAGGCCCAATGGCGGTCGTAAGTTGAGGACTCCCTGTATGATCCAGATTCCCCACCAACTCCGGGCCCCTGTTTCCCCCCCCCCCCCACCCGCCCCCTGGTCAGTCAGGCACCTTCTCTGCACTGATTTGCCCGGGGATTTCTTTCTTCTTCTGAGCCTCTTCAAAGGCCTGCCGGAAGGAATATTCTGGAGAATCGATGGTGACAGTGAGCACGGCGTCATAGGCCCGTCGCAACTTGAGGTTGTCCTCCAGTGCCGCATAGGCCTCGTCTTGATAGGGCAGGCTGTAGCTCAGGGCATCGTAGGGGATGAAAACGTAGCTCCCTTGAGTCATGGCCATCTCTTCGGCCTTCTCCAAGAGGAGGCGCTGATCCTGCCCACCCAGAAGGACGGAGTGCATGCACAGGATGACCACTGCAGAGGGAAGGAGGAGGAGGAGGAGGAGGAGGAGGAAGGGGTATGGAGGAGGAAGAGGAGGAGGAAGAGGAAGAAGAAGAGGAGGAGGAGGGGAGGAGGAGGGAAGAAGGGAAAGAGGAAGAAGAAGAAGAAGAAGAAGAAGGAGGAGGAGGAGGAGGAGGAGGAGGAGGAGGAGGAGGAGGAGGAGGAGGAGGCATTGAGGAGGAGAAAGGGGAATGGAGTAGGAAGAGGAGGAGGAAGAGGAAGAAGAAGAGGAGGAGGAGGAATGAAGGAGGAGGAGGGGGAGGAGAAGAAGAAAAAGAAGAGGAGGAGGGGAGGAGGAGGGAGGGAGGGAAAGAGGAAGAAGAAGAAGAAGAAGAAGAGGAAGAGGAGGAGAAGGAATGGAGGCATTGAGGAGGAGAAAGGGGAATGAAATTCAATGTAGAGAAAAGGAAAGTCCTACACTTAGGCAAAAAGAAACCCAAAAGTACACACACAGACTGGGTGAAACCAGGCTCAATAGCAGGAAGTGGGAGAGGGATCTTGGAGTCTTAGTGGACATCCAGCTAAATAGGAGCCAGCCGTGTGCAGCCGCCGCCAAAAAAGCCAATGCAATCCTAAGTTGTATTAACAGAAGGATACAATCAAGATCAAGTGAGGTACTTATACCGCTCTATAAAGCCTTAGTAAGGCCACACCTAGAGTCCTGCATCCAGTTTTGGTCACCACACTATAAAACAGATGTTGAGACTCTAGAAAGAGTGCAGAGAAGAGCAACCAGGATGATTTTAGGGGACTGGAGGCTCAAACACACGACGAATGGTTGCAGGAACTGGGCCTGGCTAGTCTAGGGAAGAGAAGGACCAGGGGAGACAGGAGAGCAGCCTTCCAATATTTGAGGGGCTGCCCCAGAGAGGAGGAAGGGGGTCAAGCTATTTCCCAAATCCCCCAAAGGCCAGACAAGGAACAATGGATGGAAACTGAGCAAGGAGTGATTCAACCTGGAAATAAGGAGGAATTTTCTGACAGGGAGAACCATCAACCGATGGAACAGAAGTTGCCCGTGGAAGTTGTGGGAGCTTCATCCCTGGAGGCTTTCAAGAAGAAACTGGACTGCCCTCTGTCAGAAATGGTGTAGGGTTTCCTGCATTTTGGGAGGGGGCGGGTGGACTAGATGACCTACAAAGTCCCTTCCAACTCTGTTAATCCATAAATGTTAGTGAAATGTTTTGGGATTTTCTCCTCTTAAGAGCAAGCCAAGTTAGCATGGAAAAGGAGGAATAGGAGTGGGGCGATATTTACTCTTTGTTGGTAGAGTTGTTCAAACCACGTCTCGGGAAATAGGTTCTCCTGACCAAGAAAGAAGCTGCATGAACACGTGGTTGAGTCACATGGCATGCTCCTTGTCATACAAACCAACATTTATAGAGCCCCAGAGTCAGGCGGGATCTCTGCAGCCACCAAGTTCCACCCCATCCATCCTGAAACTCAAATCGCAGGTTTGTTCTATCTTTCATGGCTTCCATCCCAGGGGAAATGACCGCTTCCTGGCTCAGTGGCTCCATTGTGGTCCAACTTCTATTACGATGAAGATTTTTTTTTCCTCTCATGGTCTCCTAGAATCAGCTTTGGATCTGAGAAAATTACATATTTGTCTGAAACGGCCTAGGGTGTCCTGCCTGAATACAGGGCTGGACTAGAAGATCTCCAAGGTCCCTTCCAGCTCTATTCTGGTTACATTACAAGAGAGGACTTCAATCTTTTTTCTTTTGGTGTGTGTGTGTGTGTGTGTGTGATAATTTTTGGAGCAAATGAGAAGCCTTAACCCTCCAAGCCAAGCCAGAAGCGAAGAAACCATCATGGTAGACTTCTCTACCTCAGAAGAAAGAATGAAATGTAGGTTTTCAATCTTCTTTCTGTCATTGTTTTTGGAGGAAATGAGAAGCTTGAACCCTCCAAGCTAAGCCAGAAGTGAAAAAACCACCGTGGTGGGCTTCTACATCTCAGGAGGAACCATAAGGTGACCCAAAGCCCTTTCTCCTAAGACACACTCCATATTTTTCAAACCTAGTGTCAGGGTTCCAGAACGGGTGCCCTAATTAACTCATGAGCCTCGAGCCAAATTTCAAAAGAAATCCAATAGTTTATTAGGAGGGACAGGTCAGCACTTTTCCCAAGCGCAGCCTGGGAAGGCTGTGTCATAAATCACATTCTACAACTGAGCACTGCTAAAGGCTGTAGAAAACACGCCTCGCCGGCTGGTTCTGGTAACCTGGGACACAATCTGGAGAAAGGTATGCGTGGAATGCACTTTGGGTCATAGCAACCAAGCTGCTCCATCAGTCGTTCCCCCCCACCCTGCCGCCACCCGGTCCTTCTTATGGCAACTCAAGAGCAAGCCAGGGATGCTTTACGAGTTGACACCTAGGGTTTAACGCGTACTTATGGTTAGATTTCTCAATGAGGAACATCTACCCGTTACAACCATACCTCGTATATTGTTGGCCTTCTTGATCTTTTGGAGTGCATCTTCCACCCCACTCGGTTCGTCTTCCATGGTGGCCATTACGGTGACAGGCAGACCCAAGTTCCTCAGCGAATCGGCCAGGCCTTGTCCCACTTGGACCCAGAGGTCTTCTTTGGAGGTGATCACACCCAGGTGAGCCCATTGGAAATGCTTCAGGACAGTGTAGAGCACCGCGGAGGCCTGCGGCATTGGCCGCACAAATGTCCCAAACCGCTCGACCTCGGCGTCATCCATCAAGCAAGCCCAGGAGACAATGGGCTTGTTCCATGTTTTGCCCAGCATCCCAGCTGCCTGGCAGGCTGTGGGGTTAATAGGACCGATGAAACCAGAAGCGTAATATTCAGCGTTGACTAAGTCTGTGAGGGCCTTGGAGGTCTGGCAGTCTTCGTTGAGGAGGACATAATCGAACCAGTATCCTTTGTTTAAGGTTGGGTCCTTGTTGATCCGACTAACCGCCAACTTGGCCGCTGCATCGGGGTAGGCTTGAGCATAGATGGAGTCACACTTCCAGGGACCTATCACCCCAACTTTGAAGGTGGTTGCATGGACGGCAAGCGGAAGGCGAAGAACCAGAGGCCAGAAGAGAAGGGGCCACCAAGGAGGCCCTCTACAGAAGGCCCACCTCGGATGGTTAGACAGCCAAAGCAGGAAGCCCATCCAAACTCGGGCCATGTTGTCGTTGGACTTCGCCAGTGATCCGGTGGAGAGGCAAGGAAGGGAAAATTGGAGAAGGCACGCAGCTTCAGCTCCGCAGGGACCAAGTCCAGAAATCTTTAGGCCCATCTCCTGCCATCCACTTGATCAAGGATGGTTCTTCATTCATCAGAAGAGGAAGGAAGAATGAAGGAGAAGAGAAGAGAAGAGAAGAGAAGAGAAGAGAAGAGAAGAGAAGAGAAGAGAAGAGAAGAGAAGAGGAAGAGGAAGAGGAAGAGGAAGAGAAGAGAAGAGGAACGTGAGAGCAGGCTGGAGAAGAATTCAGAATTCCTCCTGGTTTTTCCTGCACTTGCCAACTAACCTGATGATATTGGAAAAGAGGATTTTACTTACGGGACCATGGACAGAATGAAAACATGTCCAATATGCACATACAATTGCGGTAACCCACCTTCTCAATGATGACATGGTATTTAGGTTATCGGTAGGTGAGAAGTTATCAAAACTGCATCATAGCTCCATCATAGCCCTAACCCCAAAAACGAGGCATGGGGGGGAGGGGCGTATGTCTGGTCCCTTCCTAATGTCACGACTGCCCATTCACTTAACCAGCATGGCAAGAAAGGGGACAAAAACGGGGGAAATTTCACTTAAAACAAACCTCTCGCTTAAGCCCAGAAATTTCGGGGTCGACGGCGGTCGTATGCAGTGGTGGAATTCAAAATATTTTATTACCATTTCTGTGGGTGCCTGATTCACTAGAACCGGGGTGAACCGGAAAAAATACCACCGCTGGTCGTGGGTTGAGAGCTATTTGTATCAGGGCAATTTGGGGGGGGCGGGGGCGTGTTGGGAGAACTTCCTATGCCATTCCAAGATGGGTAGAGATGGCTTCAACTCAAGAGAGCACCCAGACAACCTAACTACCTTAAAGGGAATTCTTCTCAATCTAGCAACCTTCTGGAAAACTGGGTACCTGCCAAGACGCCCCCGGAAAATATCACAAAACAGAAACCCAGAAAGATTTCCAGCTCATGCCCACTCCGGATCGATAACATGAAGCTTCTCCTGGTACCTGTTTCTTAGTAGAGGCTATTTTACTTTTAAATAGAGCCTGACCCATCTTCTTAAATGAGCTTGGAGACATAAGAATCCTTCCAGAGAGATTTAAGGAGTTAATCTGTTCCTTCAGGTCTTATTTTATATCAAGCCTTGATACCAATGAGACTAAAATAACTCCCTCCCTGTAAAAGGCTCCCTCTATGATAACCCTGGCTGTGGAGTCAAAGAAGAGAGTATGTGTAACTCACGGTTGAACTGTGGGGTCCTTGTGGGTGGGGGGGTCTCTGAGTTTGGGGTTTTTTCTTTCTTGCAGACGTTTCAGGACCCAACTAGGGAATGTCATCAGTCCTGGAAGGGAGTGGGACTTGTGGAATGGAGAAGAAGAAGGGGAAGAGGAGGAAGAGGACGGTGGGGTCCTTGTGGCTCTCTGAACTGGGTCATTTTCTTGCAGATGTTTCATGACCCATCTAGGGAACATCATCAGTGCTAGAAGGGAGGATTGTGGATAGGAAGAAGAGAAAGGGGGGTAGGAGGAGTAAGAGGAGGAGGAGGAGGACTGTTGGATCCTTAGTGGTGAGTTTGGTGGTTTTCTTGTAGACGTTTCATGACCCAAATATGTAGTTGTCAGTATTGGAAAGAAGTGGAGTTTGCAGGAGGGAGGAGGAGGAGGAGGAGGAGGAGGAGGAGGAGGAAGAACTGAGGATACTTGGTGCTCATTGAGCATGGTGGTTTTATTACCCATTACCCAACTAGGAAACATCATCGGTTCAGAGAAGATGGAGAGATACCCACAGTGTCTTCTAAACTATCCTAAACAATAGTTACAATCTCCAGAAGAGAGATCACACCAAGGAGTATCCTAATTCAGGAGTGATTTATCATAGCAACCTACCAGATCCTCCCAGGGACTTCACTGTTAGGAGATAGAAATGCTCTCCTGTCCTACCAATGTCCCCTTACAAGAAGAACTGTATTTGGTGGCATCTGCTGTCTATCCCAGCGATCACATAGAGTCTTCCTCAAGTGTTTCAGCCTTTGATTAGATTCATCCTCCAAATATGTCTCTAATCCCCCTTGAAACACCCCCCCCGAAAATAACATCACCACAAAGTTAGTAATTTTGCATAAAGGTTCAGAATACAAATTCCTTGTGTATCCAATCACACCTGGGCAATAACAATATTTTATTCTATTCCATTCCATTCCAATTCTGTATTTTGTTATTCTCTTCTCCTTGTCCTTCTCCTTCTTTTACTCTACTCCAATTCTGTTTTATTATTCACTTCTCCTCTTCATCTTTCTCTTCTACTCTATTCTACTCCACTCCACTCCAATTCTGCATTTTATTATTCTCCTTCCTGTTCTAGTCTCCTCTCCTCTCCTCCACTCCAATTCTGTGTTTTATTATTCTCTTCTTCTTGTCCTTCTCCTTCTTTTACTCTACTCCATTTCTGTGTTTTATTGTTCACTTCTCTCCTCTTCTCCTTCCTGTTCTATTCTATTCCACTCCAATTCTGTATTTTATTATTTACTTCTCTCCTCTTCTCCTTCCTGTTCTACTCCACTCCATTCCAATTCTGTATTTT